ATTTGATACAGTAGACATCGATAGTCAGTAGTTGTAGAGAAAAACATTGTAATTTACATGATACATTTTTATAGTTTACAGTTATCTTTGTTTTAGGGACTTAAATGTTCTTATGAAAATAGAAAACAAAACATTGAAACTTGAACAAATGATGGAAACGATTGAGCTCGTCAGAGAACGACTTGAGTCAGGTACTCTTTCGCCGTTAGAATTTAAGAACACCTCCGCTACAACATTGGAAGAGAACAACGATAAAGTGAGTGATGGTAGTAACAGGGATGAGAGAAAACCCGAACTGTTGCACTGTTTCACGTGCGAAGTTATTTTCGATAGTAAACTGGCTTACGCATTACATAGCGTCAGTCACGGTTCGGAGGGTCGTTACTCATGTCCCGAATGTGATTTCACGACCAGATACAAAGATAAAATTAAAATGCACAAACATATCCGAGAGGAAAAGACAAAATATTGCTGTAAAATATGCAAGCAATCTTTCGTTGTGAGTAGAGACGCCGAAGAACACGAGAACGTTCACCTGGGCAAGAAGCCGTTCATTTGCGAGGTTTGTGGTAGGGAATACGCTCTCTCAAGACTCCTAGCGTCCCACAGAAGGCACCAGCATTGGGAAGTGTTAAAAATCGCCCCTTCAAACAAATTCGATTGCGTTCCGTGCAAAAAACATTACACCACGGCCTCCGGCTTGAGGCGGCATCGTTTGAGATATCATAACACTGTTAAAAGGGAACGTTTTTTGTGCGACGAGTGCGGCAAGGAACTGAGCAGCAAGGAAGGACTCAAGTTTCATCGCAGAACTCACACGGGATACAAACCGTACAGTTGTGCCACTTGTTCGAGGGCATTCGTAAGAAAACAGTTGTTGACGGAACATGAGAGAACGCATTCCGGCGAGCGACCCTTCATTTGTAAATTTTGTCATCGCGGATTCACCCAAAGGACTCCTCTAAAAATTCACGAACGTTTACATACCGGCGAGAGACCGTATCAGTGCCGATTTTGTGATTCGAAGTACGCATCCAAAAGTGTCGTCGACACTCATATGAGAAACTGCAAAGGGAAAAATCAAAGTTGAAGTGCGTTAGTGACGATTGATTAAACGTTGTTCGTAACTACGGGGGCAATCAACTATTACATAAGCAGACGCAAGAGGTGGAGGGGTTTAATTTTTTCATATTTTTGCTGATAGATGGAGCAGGGGCGGTATCGTAAATATCGTCATTCAGTTTTAAATTTTTCTGATCTAATTCGATCGTAATCTTAACAATAGTTCTTATATCTTTTCCTTTGGAGAACGGGGGAGTCCACAGGCTATCTGAAAGCAGAGATCTGCTTAGGTAATACTTGAACGCTCGTAATTACTTTTTTATTCTGTTGATTAGGTCACAGTATAAAGATTCTATACAGTAGGTTCACTTCCCAGATTCCCACTCTTTTCTCTCCTGTCTACGCTTCACCGACTTCATCTACGACTTCCCCTCTAAGCAGAGGTTGACTTGTACAGAGTGTCATCGGGTGGCGGATCTAGGATTTGCAATTGGGGGAGGGGGGCTGCAATATATACGAGGGCATTCAAACATAAACGAGATTTTCACTTCGGGGGACTTAGAAAACCTGTTGGAGATCCCCAGTTCCTATTTATTGTGTCTATATAATCTTAAATGAACTAAAGAGTGATTTACAATGATCCGTCACTGGGGTCATCATGAAGTCACAGTACAGATACATTTTGTATCTAAACACTTCGATAAAGCTATTGAAACATCCTTGGGTATGATAGTTGAGTGTACATAAAGTTGATTTCTGATGACCTGTAAGGCAGATTAAAGAAGTGAACCCACTGTATAGAATCATTACACTGTGACGAGGTGGACTAGGCAATGTACTTAACTGCTCCATATGAACCTCTATTATATCATTTTGTGTTTGAGATGTACATTTTCCAATGCAGAGCAAGAAGACTACAGAGCAATATGGATCATCGCATTTAACATATCACTTTGATTCTACGCCAATAAAAGTAATAATAATAATATTAATTGTAAACAATGCGTTTTGAACCGATTTTTCCATTATTTCTATAATTTCTGCGTCTGTTACAGCATTACTGGGCCATATATTAAATTATTTATCCAATTTTTATACAGGATATTTTACGCAGAAAAGTGTTGCGGTTTTCAGTTATTGTCATTTTTATTGTTTGTTTAATGATAATAAAGACAGTGTAAAAACAGTTTTGGTTTTTCGTTATATGATCGTAATGTTCTTTGAACTTCTAACGATTGTGATAAGTACGAGCGAACACATGATGTAAATTGAAGGGCAAAACGTGTCTGTTTTAGGTTTGTACGTAATGTTAAGTTTTAGATATTGCATGTTTTTTGAAACAGATATTGTGTAGGTACTATACAAAAAAAATGGATGATCCCGAGCTTTAAGCTCAATAAAATGTTAATCGTGATGAAGCAACACGAACCAGACATCATCCACTTTTCGTAGATTTGATAACTGATAATGGTCTCAAACGAGATAATTTGGCAAACTTGTTTGAATTTTAACAGTCTCGCCCCCTACAATTTCTGGAAGGAATAAAAAGTAACTTTAATAAAAAAATCTATCTGTCTATTAGTCTTGTTTTGTTAACAGCCGCCAAAAGTGTTCAATGCTTTTATATTTTTGAGATTGCAACAAGTAAAAGCCTAATTGTTATTAGGTACCTGTCATGACAAAAAAAAAGACATTCTGTGGTCTAACGTTCTTCTTTTTGTTTTAGGTTTGCTACAGCGGAAACCGCTCTGCTGCAAAGACTTATCTCTTGCCCGTCCCTGTCCGTAACCTTTCCTTCGATCAATAACTTTAATTTTAACCAAGACGACGCTGCGCTCGTCGATAACAAGGACATGGACGTAGATGAGATCAAAGTTGAACCGGATTATTTTCCGTCTGACACGTCGTCCGTCTCGTCGTCGAGTAGCAACCAAAAAAGGAGAAAGAAAACGCGTAAAAGTCAAACGCCGCGCAAAAGAAAAACCAAAGCGTCTATAAAGAAAGAGGACGCAGACGACGACGAGGACGATAACGAAACCAAACGCGAATCTAAATCGATTGTGAACGGAATTCATTGTTTCTCTTGTGATATCACATTCGAAAATAATCTCTCTTTCGCCTTGCACTCGATAAAGCATAATAAGAAACGGTATTCGTGTCACATGTGCGATTTCAGTAACGCCTCAAAATACAGCATGCAGGTTCACATAAGAATGCACGAAGGCGAGACCGATTACAAGTGCGAAATATGTAACAAGGCTTTCACAAACAAAACCCACGCCATAGAACACAAGAACTACCACACGGGTGAGAAACCGTTCAATTGCGAGATATGCGGCAAACACTTCATGTTCTCTTGGTTTCTAGCGTCTCATCGCCGATCTCAACACTGGGAAATAATGACGGGAATGCCCCTCGTCAAATACGACTGTCTCGACTGTAATAAGCACTACACGACTTCGACAGGTCTCAAAAGGCACAAACAAAAATATCATAACGAGAGAAACGAACAGGCGGTACTCTGTGATATTTGCGGCAAACGATTGTCAAGCACCGAAAAGTTGAAGTTTCATCGTAGAATTCACACCGGTTATAAACCGCACGCGTGCGGCGTTTGTTCGAAGAGTTTCACCAAAAAGGAACAGCTGAAGGAGCACGAACGTGTCCATACCGGCGAGAGACCGTTCATATGTAAATTTTGCGGGAAAGGTTTCACACAAAGGTCACCCTTGAGAATACACACAAGAATTCACACCGGCGAGAGACCTTACATCTGCCGCCTGTGCAATAAGGGGTTTATATCGAAGGGAATAATGGACACGCATATGAAAAGTTGCGCAGATACCTTGCCAATAAGTTAATTGTTTTTCGAATGTTTCGTTATTTTTTCTTCTTTATTGCTTGTTTTAATTCTCTTTTTTGTTCTGTTCAATGTGCACTGTTATTATTTTGTTATTAATATATTATATATCGTATTAGGTATTAATGATATATATATATATACCTATCTATATATATTTGTATATGTACCTACACATAACTACATATTTACATGTCAGATGATAAAATATATTGAATTTGGTACAAATTCTCTGCTACCAAACAAAGTAAGTATAGATCTGAGAAATTGTTGATTACACTATAAACTGTGGACTGTGGTTGATAAATAAATAATTAATTTATTGTGCATCTGATGATGAATTAGTGTCGTAGTTTGAATAAATAAATTCGAATATTATCTGATACAATTAAAATGTTAATACAATTCCAGTAGTGTGGCAGTAGGGGTTCTTGCTCTTGACGATGTCACGTTCTAGAATCCCTGCTACTGTACTACTAATTCCAGTAGTAACAGGGGTCATAAGACAAAAAATTTAAATAAGCACTAATATATTATTAAACGTTCCAGGTGTACTATTTATAAATATGTTTTTTAGACATTTGAGAACAAGGGGGTTTCCGAAATAAAAGTAAAGCGTTACTTTTGTGATTTAACGTAAGTAGTTTTCTTTAACGTGTTGCTAGATGCAATGCCATCTATTGACTTTGCACGTACTATGTAATAAAAGTTCCAGATTTATTGGTTATCTTGTTTTATTCTTTACGTATTTATATAATTTAAGATTGTAAGTGAATGTATAAGAATATGTTTTAATGAAAAATTACGCCCTATACAACTGTTAAAGTTCGTGTTTTATTATTTATACAAACTAGTATTATATTGAATGTCTGGTTTGAATTAGAAAATATTTGCTTCTCCCGTATTGTGATTTATTTGATTAATACTTAGATAATATGTACCTGACGATTATGTAAAAGTTCTGGTTGCTTAATAATGGCGAAACATTGTGTTAATCCAACGGAAACGAGAAGAAAACGTTGCTAAAATTTTCTTCCGTCTGTATATTATTTTTCTAATCCAAATAAATTTTTTACAGATTAATGCCACGCTTGCTGATGCCGATTGTTCAAATAAATGAGTTTCAAACACCACAGAACAGAACCCCGAGAAAACGGGGTCGTCCTCGAAAAATAAGCACCTCACTGGAAGCAACTGAAACGAAACCAATAAAGAAAGAATCAGACAACACAGAAGAGGATCAAAACGACGAAAAAAGTATAGATTTGAATGATGATAACATAGAAATCGAAGTCGATTTCAGTGATAAAGCTTCAGAGGGAGGCGAAGTCGCGAAATATTTCTGTCCCAACTGCGTCACTCTTCAGACTATGACCGAAAAAGAGTTGAGAAAACACTTCAAAGTAGCGCATAGAGGCAAACGTCTCCGAAACATCCACCTCTATTCTGGCGAACTACTCAAGTGCGAAATATGCCCGAAACAATTCAAGACAAACAAGAGCTTAAAAGAACACCTGGAATTCCACAGTAATCAATACACTTGCGAGACGTGCTACTCGTGCTTCCGAAAGATCGGCGAGTACATCATTCATCTTCGCGCACATTCGGAAGAGAACATCTTCAAGTGCGTCGTGTGCGATTACAGCACCGAATCGATAAACGAGATCAAAGGTCACATTTCGGACGATCACGAGGGCAACACTTACAAATACAAGTGCGTTGTTTGCGACAAAGGTTTCCACTTGTTGTCGTGGTTCGAAGAGCACAACAACTTTCACACAGGTACCAAACCTTTCGAGTGCGATTTTTGCGGAAAATTCTTCATGTACAGCCGCCACTTGTACGTGCACAAGAAGACGACCCACGGAGTCGAAGGCGAGCCAGTTTTGCACGAATGCGTCGTGTGCAAAAAGCAATACCAACACAAAAACAGCCTGAAACTGCACATGAACGTGCACACCGGTAACTTAGCCATTTGTGACATTTGCGGCAAGCAGCTGTCGAGTAAGGAGAAGCTGAAGTTTCACATGAGAACCCACACGGGTTATAAACCGTTCAGTTGCAACTACTGCGGCAAGTGTTTCACTAAAAAACCGATCCTTGTGGAACACGAACGTATTCACACCGGCGAGAAACCGTACGGTTGTCAGTATTGCTTTAAGGCTTTCTCGCAAAGGTCGAGCTTGGTCATACACGAACGCGGTCACACCGGCGAGCGCCCTTACGTCTGTCATCTCTGTACCAAAGGGTTCGTTTCCAGGGCCATGCTCAACATACACATCAGGTCTTGTAAAGGCTATCTTAAGTAAGAGAGATTACAAGGGCTGTTAACGTTACTATACAATTGCGTAGGAATGTTTTAAGTTATTTTTTAATTACCTACACGTAGTGCTTGAATTCAGTGTTTGACATTGACTTGGTTACTACACAATGAACTTTATAAATAAATAATAATCAGTAGAGATAGGTGTTAATACACATACATATATATAGGTGCATAGTACGGTTCCCTTATTGGGAAACTACCGGGGTCAAGCTGATAATCAGTTTTTCCGAATTTCGCGATAGTTCAGTCATTTCTTCTAAACATTTGCGCCATTTTGTACTGTCGCCATTTGCCAAAGTCTCCTCCTTGTTCAGGCATATTAATTAATAACAAATTAATCCTGAAATTATACCGTGTGATCAAGGATGGTAAGTCGACAAGAGGCGATCTATTACAGTGAAACATCAAACATTTTCAGTCATTTACATCACAAGTCAAAATATGTTGAAAAATAATTCATATCCGAAGTGGTCAAATTAGGAATTCAGCAGAAAAAGCAACATGTTATGATCACAGGATTATTTACCTATCTAACGATCAATATTTCTACGTACATATTGATTAAATGATTACCTATACTTTAAAAAAAATCGATATATAATATTTCGATACCATTCTCTAGATTGGGCTACCGCGAGAATCGAAAAAAGAAGATTGATTTTGGAATACTTTAGCATCACTACAATATCTCGCCCAGTTTTGATGATTTTTTATGACGTTTTTAATTCATACTCATTGTTTATTTTATAATAAGAAAAAAAAACTGATTTATAATTCTTCTGATACTTTTAACTGAATAAATATTAAGTGAATCGATTAATTTTATGTAGGGTAAGTAAAAGTCTTTTGTTCAACAAAATATGTATTTCTGAATGGAGAAGACGTTTTTGTAATATTTGTGAAATGTAATAAAAGTTACGGTCCCATGTCAGAGAGTACCTACAATTGGTACTTTTATGGTCATTTACACGTAGTGTATTGTTATCAGACTAATATTGTAAATGATTTTATTATATGCGAACACACATTTATTATAACGCTCTGTATTTATAGATAATTTTTTGTCGAAACCATTAGGACGTAATAATTAGCGAATATGTAAGTAATAAGCAACAAGTTGAATGTAAGGAAAATTATATTAATAAATAAACTATTAAATGTCCCGCACTATCATAAAACTTTGACAATAACATAAGACTTGTTTAAGTGTGTTTTTGGGACTTCCTGTACTTGACAATGGAATGGTAAGTTTGTAAAATTTTTAACAATGGTTAATTGTATTTTTTGTAGGTTTACAAGAGCACGAGTTCGTCGTTTTTTATGGATAAATAACAGGGGAAACTCCATTTACAGCTGGAAATTTAGTTCGCATTTTGTTGTGTTTCCATAATTTTTTGTGTTTTTATCTTTTTATGAGTCATGTTATTTTTAGAACATACTGGGAAATTCAAAGAAGCGATTCGTTTAAAAGATAAACTTCAGAAATGCGCATATTTTGGAACTTACAAATACAACAGAAAGTATATGCAGGATTTATCATTTTTCCATTTTTTTCTTTATCTGTTTTACGTTTTAGCGAGTATTTCTTCACACCGGCATTTGATCACCCTGATGTTAGAAATAACAGACAATTTATTTGATTTTGTTTATTGTCACTGGCGGTTTAACAGGGTAATAAACAAAACCAGTTTTACTCAAAAAATGTGATTGTTCGCCCATTAAAATTACAATAAAATTGAAAAGTGGTTTTTTGTTGTTTTTGTTTAATTTTGCATAAAAAATAATTTCTCTTGTGTGTTAATATAAAAAAAAAAAACACCATAGTACCTATTGTCTATGACGCAAGTTATTTTCAGGACTGAATCAGACGATGACGACGAAGAATTTGTTATAAGAACAAGAAGAAGTACAAGACGTCGAAAANATAGGAGTTCGCATCAGAAGGGCGTTATAGAAACGGCTGACTCTTCATTATTTATTTATATTAAAAAAGAATCGGACGATAGTTCAAACGGTAATGGCATCGATTATAACAGCACGCAAAGCGACGTGGACACCAAAGCCGAACTTCTTCATTGTTTTAACTGTGAAGCAACGTTTAACAGTAAACTGTCTTACGCCATGCACAGTATAAGTCATAGCGAAGACGGAAAGTACTCCTGTCCAATTTGCGAATTTACGACGACGTACAAGGACAAAATTAAATTGCACAAGCACACACGTGACAACAAGAAAGATTATGCGTGTAAAATATGTCGCCAAACGTTTCTTTACAGCAGAGACGCCGAAGAACACGAGAACATCCATCTGGGAAGGAAGCCGTTCATTTGCGAGGTGTGCGGAAAGGAATATGCCTTATCGAAACATCTTGCGTCTCACAGGAGACACCAGCACTGGGAGATACTGAAGATAGCACCCTCGAACAAATTTGATTGCACCACCTGCCAAAAACATTACACCACCGCCTCAGGATTGTGGAGGCATCGTCTCAGGTACCACAACGTTCAGCAGAGAGAACAATTTTTGTGTGACGAGTGCGGCAAGGCGCTAACGAGTAAAGAGGGGTTAAAGTTTCATCGGAGAACTCACTCAGGTTATAAACCGTTCCATTGTTCCGCCTGTCCGAAAAAGTTTGTTAAGAAACAATTGTTGAAAGAACACGAAAGAACTCACTCTGGCGAACGCCCGTTTATTTGTAAGTACTGTAACAGGGCGTTTACGCAGAGAACGCCGTTGAAGATACACGAAAGATCTCATACGGGGGAAAGACCTTATCAGTGTCGATTTTGTGACGGGAAATACGTGTCGAAGAGTGTCGCTGATACTCACATGAGGAACTGTAAAGGAAAGGGTTGAAACAAAACTAGAAATATATATTTTTTTATGGGCCCGTTCGACAGTGAAAGAAGGAGGTAATTTTTGAAAACGATAATCGTACGCAGATGATTGATCTAATACTCAACGAAATGTAATGTTTTAATATTAATTTTATTAAATCGAAAATTATTGTTTTAATTGTATTGTATCGAATTATTTTGGTATTTGTTAAAATTTTGTTCGAATAAATGATGTTAAATCTATCTGCGGACAAGTACAAAAATTTATAGTGCCAAACATACCGTAGGATTTCTTAGAAGACTATAAATATTTCGACAGTTAATTGTTATTATAAAATAAAGAAATAACACCAATATTGTAGGTCCTGTGTTGAAGGATTTTATTTCGTTCATGTTACAAACTTGTACTTGCATATTCTTTTACATTTTCTTGTCTACACCCTGAAGGAAATTTTGGGAGGGGGGGAGGGGAGTCTAGTTGGGCATTAGGGCCTTCTTAGGGGTGGGGATGGGAGATCAATGTTACATAGGGATGTAAGAAAGTAACTGGAACCTAAAAGTTTACAATAAATGATTTAGTGTCACAAGAAATGTTATTATTTATGACTTGGTGTTTATTTTTTATTTTTGAGTTATTCTTCTAGAAAATATTTATCTTTTGATACCTTAATTTATAAAATTTGTGTTTATATGTATATATTGCTATGACAATACACGTCAAAACTAAAAACGTTTTTGCTCTGTCAGTAAAGAAGTCTAACGTATTAATTTGTACGTACATACTTAGGTAAGTAATAAATGTGTTTCCAGCATGAATTTGGAAATTGTTCTAAATAAAATATTCTGTGCAGGTACTTTTGTAATATTGTTTTGTTTGTGTATTTATCTTTACTGAACTTGTTTAGCTTTAAGTATGATGTTTGTGCGATGCTTTTTCTTCGTAATCAAGGGAAGTTAATGAGATTGCCAATAATATAATTACCACAGTGAGTGTCTTTATTATTTCCGAACAGAATCGTTTTATTCTTATAGTTACCTAGGTTCTTAATTAATAAATAATAATTAGGCTAGCTCTAATTGTTTAACTTTTTAGGTTGATAATGTTGTTAGCAGCGAAGGATTTCCGAATGTTAAATAAACCGAGGGAAGGTGTTACACATGTAACGACCCCTAAAAACATCAAGAAAAATAAGATCATTTACAAAAATGAAATAGATGCAACGACAGGAAGTTCAAATGGAGACTACTCGTGCGGTTCCTGCAGGAACATTTACCCTTCCTTCGTCCAGCTTTTGACTCACATACAGAATTTTCCTTTCTGCAGCGAGAAATCTGACAGTTGCAGCAAATGTAATACGCCTTTGATGCCTTGTGAAGATGGCAAATTTTATTGTAAAAAATGCCAAAGGAAAATAAAAAACCACGGACAGATCCGGATCCATAGACCGGTATTGTGTGAAATATGCGGTAGATCTTTTCGTAAAAGAAAATATTTGAACACTCATCTGTTGGTTCACACTGATATAAAACAATACACGTGTCATATTTGTCAACAATCTTTCAAACAGCCTTCAAGTTTAGGCACTCATCTAAAAAGACACAGTGCCGCATGGTTCGGCTGTGACAAATGCGGAATAAAATACAGAAAAATAGATTCCTTAAGGGCACACATTGAAAAGCATTGCAAAGGGAAAATAGATGTACATAACACGTGAAAAATTGATTTTATATTTTCTTTTTGACTTGTAAAAATTATTTCAGTGTCCAAATGTTACATTACCCTTGTAAATGTTTAATATTACTGTTTAAGAATGTTTATAAGAATATAAAAAAGTCATGTTTTATTTTTTAAACATTTTGTTTTT